GAGGCTGCATGGATATCACAGTACAAAGATATCACTGATGTAGATGAAATGAAAGTTCCAGACTGTGCTGAAACTTTTATGACTCTCCTGTTAGTTATAACAGGTAATTATATCTATGGGCATTGCTCTTGTTTGTAGTGAATAATAAAACACCTTCAGCTAACAGATTTCTTTACTAAATACTTTACTAAATATTCATTTTCAGCAGTAGTCACCAAATAATCTTGCAAAGTTGTAATGTTTGCAGTTTAATAAAAACTTCCTGTTAATTTTGTATTTTGGACACTAACTCATGCATGAATAATCTTGAACTAGTAACATGTTTGCAAAATAATAATTATAAATATACATTTGATATTTACCATATTCTCTCATAGTTGGCAGAATATAATTTGTTGCAATTCACTAATAAAGTCTAATAGTCCTTTTGAATCTGTGTCAATTCAGAAGCTATTAAGTAGCTTCTCTTTTTTTGCAACAGTACATAAGAGCAAGTATGTTTTCAGGGGAGACCATTGCATCTTCAATGGCTTTGTCTTTCTCTGTGTGAGGATGCTTTAGGGACCACGCTGGAGGGTGTGGTATTACCACACATTGCTTCAAGTGTTACAGTACAAACTGCTCGTGGAATCAGGAGGGGGAAGAAAGTCGCTGCAAGTTTAGATTTTGCATGGCCAGTTTCCCTGAAAACACTGAAATATTGGCTGTTTTAAGTACTGACATTTAAATGCTGACTATATGATGTTCTCATAGGCATGAGGTGGTACATGTATGTCCCTGCTGCCTGTGATGTTTCTTTTTGATCAGGTTTTTTTTAGTGTTGGAAACCCTAAAAGCATTTTATTGATGTCTTTCCAGACAGGTATAAGAATCTTCCAACAGCTTCCAGAAAACTCCAGTTCCTGGGCCTACAGAAGGAGTTAGTTGATGATTTCAGGATACGATTAACTCAAGTGATGAAGGAAGAGACAAGAGCTTCCTTAGGATTCCGATACTGCGCAATCCTTAATGCTGTTAACTATATAGCAACGGTGTTGGCAGACTGGGCTGACAATGTGGTAAGTAAATGTTCTTCTTCAGGAAAAAAAATATTTTAAAATGGACTTGGGATGTTTGTTTCGTAACAAACATTTTATTTTTAGCACGTTTTAGGTGTATTCAGGAGAATTAATTATTGAAAAAGTAGAATGAGATATAAATTTGGATTTAGTAAAAGATGTATAAATAAGGACAGGTTATTGTTTGAGGCCTAAGCTGTCAATTATAAACTTTCTAGGGAAATGCAGAGACAGCCTGGGAAATGGAATAATCTGAAGAGACCAAAAAACCTAGTCTCTTTTACTTGCTTTTTATTGTAAAAAAAAAAAAAAAAAAAAAAAAAGTGAATTGATTTTGGAGATCTCTGAACCAAAGCAGCAGCCTTTGGTGCTTGAACTCCTCCCATGGCAGGAGAGCTTAGACAGATGCATGTGTGTATGTGTGTTGCAGCACAGTTCAGGTGTGGCCCAGAAAGGCCACCCACTGATAACTGGGAATTGGTGACTGCTGTACAACAGCCTGGTGGCAGCACAGCCTAGTGAGGAATTTCAGCTTTTCTGCAGCTAGTGGTGCTGAAGGTCAAAAAACCTTTTACACATGGTGTGTGCAGAATAAGGCATTGTGTGGGCTGTGGGCAGCCTCCAAATTCTCACTGTCTAGAGCCGTGGCTCTAGCAGGGGATAATCTTGACTTGATAGGACAGCAGCCTTCATGTTGTATAACTGCATCTACTAGTGTCTTGATCTGCTTAAAAGCAAAACCAACAAGGTGTTACCACAATGTCACATTCATCTCGATAAACTAAATTCATTTTCTTGCTCTTGTCAGCTCAGTAAATTTATGATTCAATGAATAATCATTGCTAAAAAAATTACAATTAAAGTTTACTTTTGAAAATCTTAAAGAGGCCAAGGTAGGTTTTTTTAAAAGCATGCTGCTGTCAATCTTAAAATATCTTTTCAGTGTTTCTTTAGATCTGTTCCCTTTACCTATCTGCTGTTGCATCTGAAACCTGTATCAGTTCCATCACTAGGATTAAACTACCATGTTTTGTTTTTCTCTAAATCAGGACCACAGGGAAGGATAAGAAAGTGGTTTTAAAATCTTAACTTTTAAACTTTATAAATGTGCCAGAGGAGAGTGTTTTCTACAACTGTGTCTAACAAAGTACCAATGGAAAGCTCAAGGAGTAAGATTATTTTCTGTGGTGTTTCTCTCTGGTTTTGTTTGCCTAGTTCTTCTTGCAGCTGCAGCAGGCCGAGCTGGAGGTCTGTGGAGAAAGTGACACCATGAGCCAGCTCCAGCTGGGACAGCTGGCATCCATGGAGAGCTCTGTCTTTGATGACATGATCAACCTCCTGGAGCGCCTCAAGCACGACATGCTGACACGACAAGTAGATCATGTCTTCAGAGAGGTCAAAGATGCTGCAAAGCTGTACAAAAAAGAGAGGTGATTCTGTTTATTTAATCTTTTAGCTTATTACAGCTTTTTTATTTCCTGTTAAAAAGATTGAGGTTAGTAAAGGCAAGAATAGATAACAGGCAGTATTTTTTTTCTGGAGTAGGAAAGCTGCAGGGTAGTAAGTTCTGGAAAATTCTCTTTATTCTTACCTGGGGACAATTGTTATGCTATGTTTTCTAAAGTAGCTCCACAATTATTAGATATATTAGTTTAAAACCATGTGAAAGATTGTGGATCATTCTAGTTTTCTAATTTGAGCAGGAATTATTTTCTTTACAGTAGTATTGAAGATTTTGTGCAAAGTGGCCTGTCATGACTGTTCTGTCTTCACAGACTCCTAGGGTTTCTTGAATATTTTCTCCTGAGTAGAATTTCTGGAGTACTTAATAAAAGCAATAGAACTCAATGATTTTCAGATTGGATGGGGTTCCCTAGAATGACATGTGCAGAGATTTATAACTAAAGCATGAGTTTAATATTAAATGAAATTCAAACACAGCATTAGACTGATAACTTTTAGATTAGAAATGGGAAAGGATTGTCTCTGAAACATTGTAAATGGGTAAGATATTTTTTTAAAGGTAATTTTAACTTCAGTTGTTGTAATATGAATCATTTCATTCTAATGACTGCAGTGCAATGGTTTCTTTCAGGTGGTTGTCTTTACCCTCTCAAGCAGAGCAAGCAGTGATGTCTCTGTCGAGCACGGCGTGCCCGATGCTGCAGACACTGCGAGACCGTTTGCTGCAACTGGAGCAGCAACTCTGCCACTCACTGTTTAAAATGTTCTGGCAAATGCTTGCAGAGAAAGTGGATCTGTACATCTATCAGGAAGTGGGTATCAGTGTGACCTGTGCAGTGCCATGCAGGTGTCAGTGACTGGCTTAAACAGCAGATGCACCTCTCTGTGTTTGTAGATCATTATGGCAAATCATTTCAATGAAGGAGGAGCAGCACAACTCCAGTTCGACATGAGTCGGAATTTGTTCCCCTTATTTTCACACTACTGCAAGAGGCCAGAAAACTACTTCAAGCAGTAAGTAGGCAAACTTCTGATCTACTGGCATTTCAGAAGTGAGTGTCCAGAAAAACAGAAATGTTCTACTTAAAACCAAGATTTTTTCAGTTGGTTTTGTTCCACACTTTAAATGTGTGGACCATTTATGCATCTGATGTTTTCAACTAGGAAAGTGGATTCTGCAGCATGTACTCAGACAGCAACAGACTGTGGCATGTGTCTTGGAGTATTTTGTGCAGTCAGGATGTCTAGATAAAATTATGGAAGGAATATTAAGTAGCACCTCTGGAAAAAACCTCTGAAACTGGGGCCAAAGAAACTAGTCAAAGACACAGTTACAACACAGCAAACTTTATTGTTAGAAGGACTACTTTAAACTATTTTCCTCCTCAGGATTGCCTTGTGAGGCATGAGAAGCTGCAACTTTCTTTCTGATTAGTCTATTTCATTATCCCACAATCTTCTAAATAGTCCAGCATCAAAATCCTCAGCTAATTGGGGCTCAAATTGAATATTTTTAAACCAACGTGGAGCATGGAAGGGCTTTTTGTTACACTTAAATTTGTGCTGCTTACATTAATCCATGTAACTTTTCCTCTAGCATAAAAGAAGCCTGCATTATCCTGAACCTGAATATTGGCTCTGCCTTGCTTCTGAAGGATGTCCTGCAGTCAGCTTCAGAAAACGAACCATTAAAGCCAAGCCAGCCATCTGCAACAGCAGCACTAAATGAACTTGGAGTTTATAAACTGGCTCAAAGGGATGTTGAGATTCTTCTCAGTTTGAGAGCTAGTTGGCCAAATACAGGAAAATAAAGACTTCTTCAGAAATGATTAATAACTTGGTCTAGATTACTTATTCCAAGCAAAAGCCAGGTGAATATCCTGAAATATGCTTATTTCTTTCATTTCTGTATGCTGAGAGATTGTTTTAATCTGATCTTATGCCTTATTCTATACAGTTCAAAGAAAAAATTCAAAATGCTACTGACTTGGTGTTGAACTGTGCAGATCTTATTTTCCATGGCCACTTTGCCATTGCATTTGGAAGCTAAAACTGTTCATCTCTAATGAATATTCTGCCTTGTCTGCATCATTCTAAGGAACACAGAATATTTACAGTGTAAATGCATTTTCGTACAACGTGGGCTAATGTTCCCCAAGAACTGGTCAGTCTTCAGTTAAACACAGATGTTTTATATCTCCAAATCCCAGGTAATGGATGTTTGAATCAAAATGTATATAATCACTGTAGAAGGAAGGAATATGTCACTGTTTTCTTCATACAAATTAATACAGTCTTTTACAGAAAAAACAATCGCCTAATTTTTTAAAAAAAGTTTCTCCTTATAAATTGCATATTGTGTGCTAAGTTTGAAAATATCACTTGGAAGTGCTACCTGCATTTACATGTGGACATTTGTCATAACTTGTTGAAGTTTTTTTCCCTTAAAAATACCCAAAAAGCAAAACGCAGCACAAGCCCAAACCAACTTAATTTTATTCAGTGCTAATGAGCCAACAGGTAACAATCCTTTACTGTAAACTATAACCTGAAGGAGGAAACTCCAAAATACTATTTGAGTTGCAAAAGAGATCTCTACTTTTTTTTTTTTTTAACCATCTCATTATATTAAGAACAGCAATTCCTAACTCTACTCCCTCCAGTGCCTGCTGGACAGGAACACGCTCTTATCACTTGTCCTTTTCAGCTGATTGCTCCACTGAAGGGCAGAGAAGATGAGAAAAAGAGAAAACAGAATATTGCTTAAAATCGACTCTTCACAGCTGACAAACCAGAAGAAAAATTGGGGAAGATGCCTGTTTTTAATAAATATAGCAGACCAGTGCTCAAACTAATACACAGACCAGCTCTCCAGCATCTTTTTCTTTCTAAAAAAGAAAAAGAAAATCTCTAGTTAGATAATGAGGATAATTAGTTCCTTACCTTTCAGCAATTGCAACAGTTACTGAAAAATTGCTCCTAGAACCATCCCTTGACTATGAGGAATTATTTGAACTCTGAACCTATTTTCATCTGCAGCTGTGCTACCACCCCTGACAAAGAAGACAACAGGTTCTCACTGTTCCACATTTTTGGATCAGTGTTTTTACCCCTGGGCTGCCTGATGACCTTTGCTCTGACCTGAAGAGCAGGTACAGTGAGAAGATCCTGAAACTGAGGACCCTGAGGTGGTGGAGGGCATGGAGCGTGGTTCACCTTACAGCAAGGCAAGAAGGTCAGGCAGTAACTGACCTTTTTTTTTTTTTAATCTTGCAATGCAAAGTGACACAGTCAAGCTTAAATTAGCAACTAAACTATCCATTAATTACGTAACTTTGTAAATAAAAAATAAATCTCAGTAAAATATCTCCTAAGCATATGTTCCCCCCCAAAATAAAAAAAAAAACCTAACACCACAATTTCAATTAAACTTACATTCCTTCCTTGAACACATCCAGTGTGATCTTCGCATCATCTTCTAGCTCCAAATCCTCAGTGCTCAGTCCCAAAGTTTTAAGGGCTAAAGTTAACAAAAGAGAATTTTTTTATGTGAGTCTTTGGAACGACACATTTAAATTTAAAGGTGCCTAGATCTAACAGAAGGTAAACGTGTGTAGCATAACAACATGTAACTCTTAAACCTAGGAAACTTAACCACATGTAACTTTTCTCAACTTTCCAAGTTCCAGGTTGTGTGGGCAGCTGTGCGGATAATTTTGAAGTATACAGATGAGTATCTTTGAAACTATTTTGATGATTGTGTGCAAGCGAAGGGTTTGGTGCGGCAGGGGTGAGACAGGCACCTTCCCTGTACTGCGCGGGCCTGATGCAGCCCTGGCCCAGCACATCCAGCAGGCTGAACATGGCGTCCACGTTGGCCTCGTCCATGAGGAACGGGTACTCGCCCTCGCCTCGCCTCCCAGCCTTGACCCGCTCCAGCACCTGGATCAGGAACTCGCGCGGCCGTTCTGCAACGAGGTCAGAGTGCCCGCGGGCACCGGGCCCTCAGCCGGGGAGCGGAGGCCGCGCAGCCCCGCTGCCGCCCCGCTGCCCCCGCTGCCGCCCCGCTGCCGGCGGGGCCGGGCCTGCGCGCACCGGGCCGGTGGAAGAGCAGCAGCGCTCCGAGGCGGTGCAGCAGCTCGGGCAGCCGGTGCCGCCGCAGGTACTCGCGGCTCTGCTCCTCGCCCGCCGCCATCCCGCGGCGCCGGGGCGGCGTGAGGGGCGGCCAGCGGCCGAGGGGCGAGCACAGGAATCCGGCCGCGGGACGCTCCGCCGGGGCCAGCGGGAAGGGGGAAGGAAAAACTGACTTTCCTGGAAGTCGTCACGTTAGCACCGGAACAGCCACGCCTCGCTCCTCGCTGGGTCCCGGTTCTGCGTTGGTTGGTGGGGAAATCGAGTGCCACGCGGTCCTCGGTAACGCGTGTGCCGGCGCTGAGGCCCGTTAGTCCGGGGAATGGCGATGGCCCTGTCAATGCACACCGCGTCTCACAGGCCGTGTCACACTCTTTTCAGTGCTGCCGGCGACAGGACGGGTAGCACTGGCCACAAAACAAAACACAAGAAGTAAGTGCCACCTCAGCATGAGGAAAACTTTACACTGAGGGTGGCAGAGCGCTGGAAAAGGCTGCTCAGGGCGGTCGCGGAGTCTCCCTCCCTGCAGACATTGCAAACCCGCCGTGTCTCCTGCGGCAGGTGACCCCGCCCGGGCAGCGCGGCTGGCCGGCATCACCTCCGGGGCTCCCTCCCGACCCTGAGGGCTCTGTGATCCTGGGTTCTCACCTCCAGCCGCCTCTCCTTCCACCCGCAGTACCAGCTGCTTCACCTGCCGCCGCTCCCCGGCACAGCCCTGGTTCATCCCCGCCCTGTGAGCGGCCCCGGGGTGTTCCCGGTGTTCTGCACCCGTACGAGAGGCAAAACCAGCGGCCAGCATCTGGGAGTAAGAGACTTTACATTTTAAAACCATTACTGGGTCTTGCAACACAGCCTGTGCAAACAGAGAATAGGAGTACCATAAACAAGTAAAGCATCCCACTTAAAAAAAATTCAGGAAATCTACAAAGATATAACTATCTGCCATCAAATAAAATCAGACAATGATAAATGAGCATATAGTAAATAAGAATAGTATTCCTGTGAAAAGTCTAGTGCTAAATATATTTAACTATTTGCCAATACTAAAATATAATAAGACATTAATAGAATTCACTTATTTATTTCTTAGATAAAGTGGGAGAAAGGCAGCATCCAGAGCTGCAAAGATTGTACAGCCATGTGCTGTCTGTATTCTCTGTTATTTTGAAGTGACTATGCTACCTGCTTTTAGTCTCAATTAGGGCTAGGGGAACTGTAGGTTTCTAACAGTTGCCTCTTATGACATTTGCCAGGCAGTGATGGAAACCTCCTTTTTCTGAGTAAAACATTCCATAGTTACTCAATCCATTCCTGCATTTGTCTTTCTGTGCCTTTCTGCAGAGTTTGCAAAGCATTAGCAAACCTTTTTCCTAAGAAAGAGCCATAGCAGAAAGTGTGGATTGAAATGTGGAGAAGTACAAAGGGAAGAGCTGGTCAGCAGGGGGGAAATAAAGATGTGGAAAATACATTCTTGAAAATGAGAACCTAAGGATAGGAAGATTGACAGGAAAAGAAGGAGCAAGTGAAATATTGGTAGGTAGGTCAGTGTTTGGGTCAAGGAAACCAGCATTTGGCAAAGGATGTTTCTCCTTTAGCAGTGAACACAGATAACCAGTATGAAATACATGTTAAGGCTAAAATTTTAAGAATAAGCACAGGAATTACGTATTTAAGTGTGTCTTCCTGAGGAATGGTTAAAAAAAAATCACTAAACAGAGCAAATCCCAATTTGATTTACAACTAGAAATGTATTTTTTAAAATTCTATTTCACTATCAAGGAAGCTCAATTTATTTACTTGAAAAAACATTCTGATGATGAATCATGTATTTATTATTTTCATAATAAATTATTATCCTCAGTTCATATAATGATAGTACCAGCTATGGATCTTAAAAGTATGATATTTCAGGATAATTTGGAAGGAGCTCCCATGGGCTATTGTAAGGGAAACTTACAATACTTCTGGCAGCTGAGAAAAACAGGATTTGACAAACACCTGAAAGTATTCTGGTTCCATTATAGAGATGCTGGTAAATAAGTTTTAATAAAGAACTAAAGGACCAAATTATTTTTATCTGTTTAAAGTGTCCTGGTTATATAAATCAGATTTTTTTAAAAGGCTTAATACCTGTTGTGATAGAAGCTCAGCCTTCTACAGGATATCACTAGTAATTTAAGCCTTTTATCTAATTTAACAGGGCTAAATAGGCTACAATGAGCCTTTAAGAGTTGCAATGAAGAGAAACAGGGACTGCAGGTCAGATATGCAGCTGGCTGCAGAACAACCATTTGTCTTGCAGGGGAGAGCAGGCAGATGGACACGTTCTTTCAAATGGGACTGTCAGAAGACTGAAGTCTTGGGCTGGGAGAAGAGACAGGAGCAATACAGGCTGGGAAGGATCCCTAGATGTGCCACAGGTTTCCTGAGCACACAGCTGCTGAGAGCAGCTCCTTGAGGCTTTCCTTACCCCTGCTGCTCCTCAGCATGAGCACTGGGAAGCACTCTGCCAGGGAGCAGAGGCTGAGCTGTAGGGATTGGCGCTGCCATTGCTGTAGCTGCTTTGGAAGAGCTCCACTGCAGCTTCCCTCTGTGTGTCCCCGAGGACTTCCAAGGTACAGGTGAGTTCCTCAGCAGGGGCTTCTGTAGGGCTTCTGTACTATACACTTACAGAGGAAAGTGATCAACTACAGAAGTATTGAGCTTCTGAGTATTAATTATCCCAACAGCCAAAATCACTTTTTTTTTTTTTTTTTTTTTTTTAATTTACTGTACAGAACAGCAGAATAATTAAATTGAAATTGTCCTCATGTGGTCAACTCCCTTTCCTCTTCAAACTGGGCTAATTTCAAGGACTGGCTCAGGTTGTTCACAGCCTTGTCATGTTTTTACTGTCTCCAGAATGGAGACTCCACTACATCATTTGTCCTGTGTTGCACAGGAATGGTACCAGCCTGTATTCTTGAAGCAAGCCCAGCTTTTCCCATAGGCTTCTAGAGATGCAGGATAAGCAGTCCTTCACTCAGACATCCTGGGGAGCACCTCACTGCTCAAACTATGCCCAAAGCTCCGAGCACAGACCTCTCCAGTTAAAAACTGAAGCAAAGGCAGCAATGAGTGTACCTCTGTCACCTCCCTGTCCTCTGTCACTGGGTTACCTACCACATCTACTGGGGCCCACATTTTACTCACTTTTCCTTCCATGTTAATGTACTGGAAGTGTCCTTCACATCCCTTCCCAATTCCAGCTCCAGCTGAGCTTTGGCTTTCCTGTTTCTGTTTCAGCATGCCTGGGCAGTGTTTATTCCTCTAGGGTAGTCCCCCCCTGCTTCCACAGTCTGTGCTTGCCTTTTGCCTCTGACTTAGTCGGGAGCTCTCCGTTCAGCCATGCTGGCCTTCTCCCATGTCTGCTCAGCTTCCTGCAGATCAGAATGGACTGTTCCTGAGCTTCAGCTACCACTCCTGGGCCCTTTAGGTCAGTCTCCTTGGGATTCTGCCAACAAAATGTCAGCAGGAGCAAAGTCTGCTCTCCTAAATTCCAGGATTGCAGTTCAACTACGTATCTCCCTCACTTCCCTCAGAATCATAATCTTTGCTCTATTGCAGTCGCTGCTGCCAAGGCTGCCTCCAGTGTCAGTGCTCCCAGCAGCCCTGCCTTACGTGTGAGCAGCGTGTCTAGCATAGCCCCACTCAGCTTGTTGAGCCCTTCTGTCAAAAAACTGTCCTTGATGTACTGCAGAAGTAGCTGGATCACCACTTGTGCCATCCCAGTCCTCTCCACAAGAAGAAGAGCCCATAGCCATCAGTCTAAGCTGTGAATGTTGGCTTTTTTTTTTCCTTTCCCCCAGTCAGCTGTAAAATAAAGGCTAAACCTGCCATCAGAAATCATGTACTGGGAAAATAAATCAGGAATTACAAAAATACTTATTGTTTCTGAGTCAAGGAGAAGAGTAAGTCACAACATGCCTAGATTGATATCAGAACACTTTACTGTAACAGAACTGTCTACTTCTCAGTTGGCTGAAAAGCCACAAAACAGATTTCCTGGAACTATGGTTGGACTCCTGCTGAAGGAAAAGGGGAAAAAAGAAGTTACTTGAGCAGGAGCCTGCATTCTTTGAGGTACACAGTGTATTTTCATGTGTAAGTATGGCTCTGAGCCCATAGCTCTTCAAAGCAGAGAAGCTTTTATTCCAGCAGTAGCTGTAGAATGAGTTCACACTACACAGGGTGGGAGAGATCACAGGTCCATCTCCATTTCCATCTCCATTGCCTCAGTGCCTCTGACACTCCACAGTTCAAATAGACATTCTGAGCAACAAAAAGGTGGGCATGCAGTTAGGAAGCAGAAGTATGGATTGTGCATCTCCAGAGGTTCGTGTTTCTGAAGAGTAACCCCTGTCTTTTCCTGTACTTGATAGCAAACCCACACATCCACTCTCCCTGTAGTCACGTCAGCCAGTGCTTTGTAAAAGCAGAGTTACCAGGAAGAGCACTTGTTGGTGTTACAAACACAAATCCTAAAGAAAAGTAACGTGGAAGGAGTAGGTCAAGGCAAGATTATAAAAAAAATAAAAACCCCAAATGCCCAAGAAACCACACCACAAAACCCCCCTACTGACTATGGATCAAATTAAGAGAAAACTAAAGAAAAAGGATGGCAAATAATTGCAATTTAAGAGCAGAGCTGAGCAGAGGGGAAGGTTCCTTGTGTAGGCTGTTGAGAACAGCTTAGAACTGAGGCAAGATATCTATATCTATATCATCTATGTCTAATCTATTCTGCAGCTGTGGTGGAAAAGGCAAAGAGGTTGAGCCTGTGTAGTAATTTCCCAGTAGTGACCTCACTCACCTGTGGCACAGTGCCCCAAATCAGCACCGAGGAAGTTTCCCTCTGGGAAGGGATGATGGTTTCTCCTCTGCAGTGACGTCCCCTCCACCACCATTTCACCTGCTGCCTCAGTAGGGCCAGGCTGGGAGCGAGCGGACACGGACACGGGACTCCCAGGGCTGCACTCGTGTTCATCAGGCCACTCTTCGTACTTACACCAAGAGGCCTTCACACCTGTGGGTTCTGCAAATGCACCTTGTCCATGATAGACAGCATTCCTGAAAAACTACCCTGTGGTGTCACATCAACCACATTAGCAACTGCTCCAAGTTCAT